TTGCCATCTATGATAAAAGAATCAACAAAGGTCCCATTTCACTTCATGCAAACGTCAAAGTTCTGTCAGAGATTGTGTTGGCCCCTGTTTAATTCTTTCAGGTCAGGTGGTGTAAAAGGGAAAGTTTAGTTGTATTGTGTTTGTATTTTATAATATTTGAGGGCTAGTTGTTAATGTTAAGCTCTAGGAAGTAAAAGATGTTTTCACATAGTAGGGAATTTTAGTGCTGTACCAGCTTATTTTTGGATTTTGTTGTGCCATCCCAAAGCTTTCTAGAGTGGTGCCTCTCTAACCAGGAAGTCTGTCCTTGTTAGGAGACAGTGGCAGTGCTTTCAGTTTTTTTCCAGCCATCCATGTCAAGAATGGAATGAGTTTTTGCATTCTTTCATCACTTCGTGTAATGGCACTGGTGCAAATAAATCTGTAAGATTATTAGTAGTTTTGAGAATTGCTCCCTACTCACTACCCATGAGTCCATCCTTACCTCTAGTTTCTGTCTTTCTGGGGATGTTAATAGGGTTCAGCTGAGGTTCTTTTCACGTGCAGTGAGATCTTTTTCCAGTTCTAGTCTCTGCTGTACTATATTTTCCAGAAATTCCTTGAAGTGGAATGTGAATGATACCTTCTCTTAGTTTCTAGAACTAATAATTTACATCTATTTTATACGCTTCTTCTGAGATTCTGGTGGGAGGGGGGCAGATGTGGGTTTGATTCACCAATCTGAACTGGAATTATGCTTTCTAATCATTTAATTGCTATTTATTTCATTAATATTGTTTATAATGGTAATTGAGAGAGATTGGTTCCACTATTCAAGAATAGTAATGGTCACCTAGAACAACTGATATACTGTTTTATGCAGTTAAACTATCAGTTTATGTTACTGGGATTTTATTCAATATATATATTAATTGGTTTAATAATCCATGCCTATTTTAAAGCTATATTTTTACAAATATGAATTAAAAGTAAGTGAAATAGACTAGAGTTACCATCAGATAAAAAAGTAAGATTTTATAAATTTCTTAAATGATTGCTCAATTTAGAATGTATTAGGTCAACACAAGAATTCCTATGAGATGCTACTGTTCGTGTTTCATACTTTATTCTTTTATTAGTTTCTAATGAAAGCATGTGTTTTAACTTCTCTAAAGTGAACTCTTTAGTGAGTCATGCTTATTGTATGCCTGTGAAGGAAGATTATTCCTGATTTCTTTTGTCACAAATGACTTCTTTGGTATTAAAGTACTGATCCTGACCTCAAACATTAACTATGAAATGATTTGGGGGTAGTGTTTAATTTTTGTTATATATTTGTTACTCTATGAAAACTTTACATGAATATCTTCTGCACTTACCAGGTGATTAGAAGTTATGTAGCATCTGTTGGTAATGTTTGAATTTTAATTTCTTAAAATTAATTTCTACTTAATTAAGTCATTTTTGTTAGGCTTTCCCATTCCCTAAATCATGCAATTCTGCCCTTTCTCCCCTTTTTAAATGATGAGGAGCTAATTTTCATTGCCCTTAAGATTTTAGACTGTTGAGTGTACTGCCAAGAGCAAAGTTGTTCATATTGGTTGAGGATATACTAAACTAGAGGCCCTTCTCTGGGAATCCTGGATGACTCAGGAGTGGGATGGGGCACAGAGTGATACTCTTGAGATGTATCAAGGAAGAGTCTAGCATTTACCAGTGGAAACTCCTTGACTAAGGCTACCCTTGCTTTAGACTTAAGTAAAGTTAAACATTGTTTCATAATTTATTTAAATTGTCTCTCGTCTTCACTTTTTTTTTTTTTGGTGAGGATTTTTCCAATGTAACTTTGAAATACAAGGGGATGCATTTTGGCAACTCTTTGGGAAGACTAGAGTTACCTGTAAAGTCAGGGCCTGGTCCTGGACAGTATGATATAACCCAGTAAGTAAAAAAATAGTATATCTTTACTGTAGTTTTTGACTATAAATATTCTAATAATTTAGACTAGGTTATGCTGTTATGAAAGGAAAAATCAGTATGAAAAACTTCAAGAAATATGATATTTTAGAGTAACCTATATGAAAACCATTGCTTTTCTGTCTGCCAGATCCTGTGCTACCTGTTTTACATGTATTAATTCATTTATCTTCACAAGTCTCTGTGTAGTTACTATTGTTATGCCTATTTTATCAGTGAAAAATGAAAGGGTCAGAGAGAATAAATAATGTATTTAATATTATGTAGCTATTAAGTGGCAGAGCTTGACGTTGACTGAGGCCTTTTCGGTTCTACAGCCCATGTATCTAAGTACTAAAATATACTGTCTTTAATTACAAGATAGAGAAAAGATCAGAGAAAATATAAAAGAAGGTGACCCAGGACTCTGCATCTTGCTCCTGGCTCTGGTGTCCATTCTTTTGACTACATGCTGGATTTAGAAGGCATTCTCAGTATAAGTCAGAGCCATAACATTAGGTTGAAGGTAGTATTTATGAAGTCTAACTAGGAAATACATTTCTTGTAAAATAATTCTTTCTGTCTTTATTTTCTCCTACTCTTACAGTAAGGTCTTAGACATGAGTCCATGGAAAGCAAAACTGAGTGACAGATATGTTGTTCTCAGAATCTATTGCTGCTTTTCATGATTTAATTTTTAACAGGTTCCCGTTTATCTGCCTGATCCTTTCTCTCTTATAGGATGAGTTTTCTAGCAGGAAGGCCCACAGTGATTACCTATCCAATTAATTTGCTGGACAGATTCAGACACATCTGTATACCAGCAGTGGACGTAGCTTAGGCTCTTACTTAAACTCCCCTACTACTATTCATTGAACAAACATTGTTTGAATTCTTGCTATGTCTTAGTACTAAACTTAGTAACTAAGAATAAAAAGAATAAAACATGGCCCTTGTTTTTGGGAATTTATACCCTATTCTATTGTCCTTTTCATTTTTTCACTCTCCTAATTTGGGTGATATGCCATGTATTTTAATTTTTTTAGTAGTTACACTAGAAGTTTAACATGTATATACAGCTTAATGGGATCTAAATTTAATCTTTGTCATTCCAAATAAAGTCTGTCAAATGCTCTAACTCTACTCATCCCCTTGACATAATGCTTTTGTTAGTATTTTACTGTTATCTTTTTCTTCCAGTTTGGCTGGTTTGCTTTCCTATCTGTCTGCCTGCTTGCCTGTCAGTTTTATTGAGGTTTAATTAACATTAAGCAAAATTAACCCTTTTTAGGGTATGTGGTTCTGTGATGATTGTTTTCCATCCATTCCACTACACGTCTAACTAAGTACCTCAGGCATGACCAGCACTCTGTCTAATTCTATTGCTCTGATTTTGCTTGATAGTTTTTTCCTGACAGTCCTTTTTACTTCTCCAGCCCTGTCCCACTCCCATTCTCCTCCTATTTTTTTTTTTAAATAAGTGTCTGTCTGACTTTATTTTTTATTTTTTTGGTCACACCGCACGGCTTGTGGGATCTTAGTTCCCCCACCAGGGATTGAACCCAGACCCACACCAGTGAAAGCATGGAGTCCTAACCACTGGACCCACCAGGGATTTCCCTCTTCTCCTTTTTTTTAAATGTTTCTTTCTCTTTGATCTTTGTTATTTCCATTGTTTCTTCTTTCCTTCTGTTTGTATTTTCACTTTTGCTAGTAGGAATGTATGCATATAGATTGCATTCCTAACTGCATCAGATATTTCATCATTTCCGTAATTTGCTCTTTGTTTTTGCTGCCTTCACTATCTTTTATTTGGCCTTGTCTTGGTTCCTTCTGGTAGTTGATATTTTCTACCTTTTTTTTCCTACTTTTTGTTTATTGATTGAGTCATAATTATTGTGGATTTGATATGGTATAAAAATGGAAATACTTGGGTATTTCGAATGGAAAGATGAGCTCATAGGTTTCTTTTTGGGAAAACACAGACCTAAATGATATGTGACCCTTTTGATATCCCAAATATAAATTTTTTATCCATAAAACTATTTTAGGTTTTGAAAATATGTTCATTTGTTGAATTTTGTGCAAAAAAATCAATGAAGTCAGCATTTGACAGTGAACTGAGATGTTATATGCATGTTTAAATCATAGTAATGTCTAAACAAACAAAAAGGCAATTATGTAACTTAAACATTTGTTTTTATGTTTTTATATTACCTTTTTTTTAAACCTCTTATGTTCCGTATAGTTCACTGGAAGTGTTTAATATGACTTTTTTTTCAAATTCTTTTTAAGAATTAGAAAAAAGTAACCTATTTGAATATAATAGCTAACAGTTATTGTATACTTACTATAGGTTTTGTATGGCAGTAAATACTTCACGTATATTATCCACTTTAATCATTACAACCTTGAGAATTGGTTAATACTATTTCCAATCATAGATGAAGAATCAAATCTGAAGTTTAGAGAGGGTGAGTGATTTGTGTAAGGTCACATAGCTAGTAGGTGGCAATGTTAGGATTCATATCAGGCTATCTGACTCCAGAGCTTGGGCTGTTATTCACTGCTTACTTGGTTTATTATTCTTACTTGTGTAAATTTCAATGAAAATAAGCTTCCCTTTCATTTTCAAAGATCTTTCTTTATGCCCTTTTCCTGATTGTTTTATGATATAAATAGCATTGACTATTTTCCCCTTATTTTAGTTAATAGTTGAAATACCAAGTGATTTGAAAATTTAAAGACCTTTTATGGTGAATAAACTACACGGGAAACTATTTTTGGTAGCTTTTTATTTAAATTCATGACATAAATCCCACATTTTGTTTTCTTTTTGGAATCATTATTAGAATATGTATATTTTAATGCTCTGAATTGGAAAACGCAGATCTAACCAATATAAATGAATAGATCTGACAGAGTTTAGGATATATTGGCCTAACACACCCAGATATCTTATTGAATACTTTTTAAGCAGGAAATGGTATAAAAATATTCTCTTAACTTACATAGACATTTATATATTTGAAATTGAGAATAATTTTTTTCTGAATTTTCTAAAGGAAAAAGGCACTACATTATGAAAATATTAACATCAAGAAAGATCAACAGCAAAATCATTGTTCAAATCTCCCACGACTTTATGAAGTAATAATATTGCAGGAGGAAAAAAAGGTAAGTTGAAAAGTAACTGTTTCATCTACTTCCTAGATTTTAAGGTCATTGAATCTTATTATCACACAGAGTACTCTTCTACTGTTCCTCGTAGGTAGTTGTCACTCTGAATTTTGTGGAAGGAACTGAGGAACTGTGTTTAAAATTTCCTTCAAGTTGATCGCTGTCTCTGCTTGAACACCTCTTGTGATAAAGAACTCAATACCCCTGAGGTTTCTTGTTTCAGTAGTGGACTACTCTGTTTCTTACAATTTCCTTCTTAAACTGACCTAACTTTAGCTGCTTGTTGTCTATTTATTCTCCTTTTTCCTATGACTTCTTTTAAATCTCCCTTTAAATCTTTTCTAGTAAGGATAAATGTTCTAAATATCTTTGACTATTCTCAGTATTTAGCTTCGGGATAACTTATTTTCCTTTGACGTTATCTAGGGATCTTCATTAGTTTTTGAATCTTTCTCTCCTTAAAATATGATTTTGAGAACTAAGAATAATATTCTTGGTGAAGTCTGGTTAGTACATAGTAATATTTTTATCTTCATTGTTCTAGGTAGTGTATATTTATTAATATAAAAATCTAAATGCCATTAAATATTTTTTGTAGCTATGTTTCAGTTTAATCATTTGGAACTTGTAGGCACAAAAACCTGGGATTTTTTTCCTCTAGTATATTTAAACTTAAAAACTTGAAGATTATAGGATAAACATTTCAAAGTGGATCATTTAGAGTAAGGATAAATGACTCTCAGTTGAGAAATCAGTGAGTATTTCAATAAGAATTTTCTCTGTCTTGCCCTGAATGTTAATCAGCAAGGAAAAATATTGCTTATAGATCTATTAGAAAAAGATACAATAACAGAGTAATATAATGCAATTGTTTTCATAGAATAACAATTATAAATCTCAAACAAGATAAAAAGTGTTAATTTAAATCATGAGAGGTACTGGTTTATGGTTTTCTTGTAATGTGTTTGTCTGGTTTTAGTATTAAGGTAATGCTGGCCTCATAAAATGAGTTAGGAAGTATTCCCTCTGCTTATGTCTTCTGAAAGAGATTGTAGAGATTGGTATAATTTTTTCCCTTAAATGTGTGGTAGAATTCACCAGTGAATCCATCTGGGTCTGGTGCTTTTTGTTTTGGAAGGTTATGAATTATTGACTTGATATCTTTAATAGGCATAGGCCTATTCAGATCATCTATTTCTTCTCATGAGAATTTGGGAGATTGAGTCTTTTAAGGAATTGGTCCTTTTCATCTAGGTTATCAAATTTATGGGCATAGAATTGTTCATAGTATTCCTTTATTCTTTTAATGCATATGGGAACTGTAGTGATGTCCCCTCCTTCATTTCTTTTTTTTTTTTTTTTTGTGGTACGCGGGCCTCTGACTGCTGTGGCCTCTCCTGTTGCAGAGCACAGGCTCCGGACGCACAGGCTCAGCGGCCATGGCTCACGGGCCCAGCCGCTCTGCGGCATGTGGAATCTTCCCAGACCGGGGCATGAACCCGTGTCCCCTGCACCGGCAGGTGGACTCTCAACCACTGCACCACCAGGGAAGCCCCTGCTCCTTCATTTCTGATATCAGTAATTTGTATCCTTTCTCTTCTTTCTTAGTTTGCCTGGCTAGAGGTTTATAAATTTTTTTTTGAACTTAATTTATTTTTTTATGCAGCATGTTCTTATTAGTTATCCATTTTACACGTATTTGTGTATACATGTCAATCCCAATCTCCCAGTTAATCACCCACCCCCTGCCGCCGCTTTCCCCCATTGGTGTCCATATGTTTGTTGTCTACATCTGTGTCTCAATTTCTGCCCTGCAAACCAGTTCATCTGTACCATTTTTCTAGGTTCCACATATATGCGTTAATATACAATATTTGTTTTTCTCTTTCTGACTTACTTCACTCTGTATGACAGTCTCTAGATTCACCCACGTCTCTACAAATGAACCAGTTTTGTTCCTTTTTATGGCTGAGTAATATTCCATTGTAAATAGGTGCCACATTTTCTTTATTCATCTGTTGATGGGCATTTAGGTTGCATCCATGATCTGACTATTGTAAATAGTGCTGCAATGAACATTGGGGTGCATGTGTCTTTTTGAATTACTGTTCTCTCTGGGTATATGCCCAGCAGTGGGATTGCTGGGTCATATGGTAATTCTATTTTTAGTTTCTTAACTAACTTCCATACTGTTCTCCATAGTGGCTGTATCAATTTACATTCCCACCAACAGTGCAAGAGGGTTAACTTTTCTTCACACTTTCTCCAGCACTTGTTGTTTGTAGACTTTCTGATGATGCCCATTTTAAGTGGTGTGAGGTTATACCTCATTGTAGTTTTGATTTGCATTTCTATAATAATTAATGATGTTGAGCAGCTTTTCATGTGCTTCTTGGCCATCTGTATGTCTTCTATGGAGAAATGTCTATTTAGGTCTTCTGCCCATTTTTGGACTGGGTTGTTTCTGTTTTTAACATTGAGCTGCATATATATTTTGGAGATTAATCCTTTGTCCATTGATTTGCTTGCAAATATTTTCTCCCATTCTAAGGGTTGTCTTTTCGTCTTGTTTGTAGTTTCTGTTGCTTTGCAAATGCTTTTGAGTTTCATTAGGTCCCATTTGTTTATTTTTGCTTTTATTTCCAGTACTCTAGGAGGTGGATCAAAAAAGATTTTGCTGTGATTTATGTCAAAGTGTGTTTTGCCTATGTTTTCCTCTAAGAGTTTTATAATGTCTGGTCTTACATTTAGGTCTCTAATCCATTTTGAGTTTATTTTTGTTTATGGTGTTAGGGAGTGTTCTAATTTCATTCTTTTACATGTAGCTGTCCAGTTTTCCCAGCACCACTTATTGAAGAGACTGTCTTTTCTCCATTGTATATCCTTGCCTCCTTTGTCATAGATTAGCTGACCATAGGTGCGTGGGTTTATCTCTGAGCTTTCTATCCTGTTCCATTGATCTATATTTCTCTTTTTGTGCCAGATTACTGTAGCTTTGTAATATAGTTTGAAGTCAGGAAGTTTGATTCCTCCAGCTCCGTTTTTTCCCCTCAAGACTGCTTTGGCTATTCGGGGTCTTTTGTGCCTCCATACAAATTTTAAGATTTTTTGTTCTAGTTCTGTAAAAAATGCCATTGGTAATTTGATAGGGATTGCATTGCATCTGTAGATTGCTTCGGGTAGTATAGTCATTTTCACAATATTCTTCCAATCCAAGAACATGGTATATCTCTCCATCTGTTGGTATCATCTTTAATTTCTTTCTTCAGTGTCTTATAGTTTTCTTCATACAGGTCTTTTGTCTCCTTTGGTAGGTTTATTCCTAGGTATTTTATTCTTTTTCTTGCAATGGCAAATGGGAGTGTTTCCTTAATTTCTTGTTCAGATTGTTCATCATTAGTGTATAGGAATGCAAGAGATTTCTGTGCATTAATTTTGTATCCTGCAACTTTACCAAATTCATTAATTAGCTCTATTAGTTTTCTGGTGGCATCTTTAGGATTCTCTATGTATGTTATCATGTCATCTGCAGACAGTGACAGTTTTACTTCTCCTTTTCCAATTTGTATTCCTTTTATTTCTTTTTATTCTCTGATTGGCATGGCTAGGACTTCCAAAACTATGTTGAATGATAGTGGTGAGAGTGGACATCCTTGTCTTGTTCCAGATCTTAGAGGAAATGCTTTCAGTTTTTCACCATTTTGAATGATGTTTGCTGTGGGTTTGTCATATATGGCCTTTATTATGTTGAGGTAGATTCCCTCTATGCATACTTTCTGGAGAGTTTTTATCATAAGTGGGTGTTGAGTTTTGTCCAAAGCTTGTTCTGCATCTATTGAGATGATCATATGGTTTTTGTTCTTCAGTTTGTTAATATGGTGTATCACATTGATTGATTTGCGTATATTGTAGAATCCTTGCATCCCTGGAATAAATTGCACTTGATCATGGTGTATGACCCTTTTAATGTGTTGTTGGACTCTGTTTGCTAGTATTTTGTTGAGGATTTTTGCATCAATATTCATCAGTGATATTGGTCTGTAATTTTCTTTTTTTGTAGTATCTTTGTCTGGTTTTGGTATAAGGGTGATGGTGGCCTTATAGAATGAGTTTGGGAGTGTTCCTTCCTCTGCAATTTTTTGGAAGAGTTTGAGAAGGATGTTAGCTCTTCTCTAAATGTTTGATAGAATTCATCTGTGAGGCCATCTGGTCCTGGACTTCTGTTGGTTGGAAGATTTTTAATCACAGTTTCAATTTCATTACTTGTGATTGGTCTGTTCATATTTTCTATTTCTTCCTAGTTCAGTCTTGGAGGGTTATACCTTTATAAGAGTTTGTCCATTTCTTCCAGGTTGTCCATTTTATTGGCATAGAGTTACTTGTAGTAGTCTCTTAGGATGCATAGTATTTCTGCGGTGTCTGTTGTAACTTCTTTTTTTTCATTCTAATTTTATTGATTTGAGTCCTCTCCCTCTTTTTCTTGATGAGTCTGGCTAATGGTTTATCAATTTTGTTTATCTTCTCAAAGAACCAGCTTTTAGTTTTATTGATCTTTGCTATTTTCTTTGTTTCTATTTTATTTATTTCTGCTCTGATCTTTATGATTTCTTTCCTTCTGCTAACTTTGGGTTTTGTTTGTTCTTCTTTCTCTAGTTCCTTTAGGTGTAAGGTTAGATTGTTTATTTGAGATTTTTCTTCTTTCTTGAAGTACGCTTGTATTGCTATAAGCTTCCCTCTTAGAACTGCTTTTGCTGTATCCCATAGGTTTTAGATTGTCATGTTTTCATTGTCATTTGTCTCTAGGTATTTTTTGATTTCCTCTTTGATTTCTTCAGTGATCTCTTGGTTATTTAGTAGTGTATTGTTTAGCCTCCATGTGTTTGTGTTTTTTACGTTTTTTCCCCTGTAATTTCTAATCTCATAGTGTTGTGGTCAGAAAAAATACTTGATATGATTTCAATTTTCTTAAATTTACTGAGGCTTGATTTGTGA